AGGGCCGGGGTCGTTTTTGCGGGGGCGGGGGTCGGGTAGCCCCGCGGCGGGGGTCCGGGGTTGAAACCCCTACCCCGGCTTGGGCCCCGGGGATCCCCGCGTGACAACGCTGGTCATTATAGGTGAATTTGGTGTATCTTTCAGTCTAAATTCAGCTATAATGACCGTACGTTGTATTCGGGGGAAGACTGTAGCCAGTCAGTGTTCCGACAAGACAGAAGGTGTGTGGGACGTTTGTTATAATGACCCTGACAAAACGCCCCCACAGACTGTAGCCAGTCAGTGTTCCAGCCACTCCGGTGGGGTCCCATCATTCCGCAGGCACACTCTTCCAAACACTGTTCCACGAAACCCGAAACTCTCGTCACTTTTCCAACAACACTTTTCCTGTGGGGTCCAGGCCTAAGTTGAAATCCTGACCCACAGAGAAACATAACCAAGCGCTGCTCACTGTCGGAAAATAAAAAGATGACACAGCAATCAAAAAGACGAAGAAAAGAGGTACGTTGGGGTGGGTCCTGTGAGCATAATAAAATAAAAAAAAGGGAAAAAAACAAACAAACACAGAAAACACTGTGGGTGTGCGTATCCTGCCAAAGTGAAGACCGTCTTGTCTGTCGGCCATAAATAGCAATCGTGCTTATGTTCTGAAACCAATTCAATCCATGTCAAATGTACAATATGACGAAGACGTACTCTACGTGACAACTCTCCCTCCATCTTACTTCCCCTCTCACTTCTCCCTTCAATCCGTTTGCTTCCTAAGTTCCTAACACCGCTTTTTTTTTTTTTGACTCCTCCACAGCTATCTTCCTTCCCTCCTCATCAGAGTCGTCACTTTCCAGTTACAGGGCCTGGCCCGCAATGCAACACCTATCACCAATTACAGTGTTGCAATGCAACACCTATCACCAATTACAGTGTTTTTTTTATATACACTAGCTCAAGAGACCAACCTGATGTTCAGACAGCTTGCCCGCTCCCCAACAAACCAAAAAAGAAGGGGCCTGAGAGTAATTGGAAATTGTACCTTGTGTAGAACACACTCGACACACGACCGTTGTTCCCCACCCTCACAGCCCTCCCAAATCCCTCAGTTCACCGCCCTGAGTTATCATAACCTTAATCGGAATCGATTGCCTGAAGAGACAAGAGGAAAAAAACGAGTGCTTTAGGGGTCTTGATGATACCTCTAGCCCCCTGGGGTACCTGCATTTGTTCTTCCAGAGCTTGCTGACACTGACACCCCTGAATTCCGACCTTGGGGGGGCCTTCGAGGAAGCTCCATTCTCGATTTATGCATGTCATCCTTGCGCAGGGGACATGCTAATAATCTTCTTTCTCTGTATGGTTCCGGTTTTAACAGATGAAGATCGGTTGAAGAAGCCATTCAATGGAGTCCGCCAAAAAACCACCGCCTGCTTATGAAGCCCTTATAACCCCCTGCGTTTAGTCAGAAGGGGGCCCTTACTTATGACCCCTGAATTGAGTTGACAAGGGTACCTGAGTTCTAACTTCACAGCCCCTTAACAAGGGTACCTGAAATGGAGTGACTGGCACCCCAGCCAGGACCCCAACGCCTCGACAGCCCAGTTGACAAAATGAATGGGTGACGTGCCGAAGTGACGCCCCACACTTAAACTTGCCCAATCCAATCGGCAGTTGTCCCCCCATCACACTTCCCCCAAGCCTCCCAAATACGAGGCCTGTTCTTTCGTTGTTTTCTATTTCATTCAAACACGAAATAGGGAACTCCATAACGACCTTCCATGCGCCAGTGAGGAGGTCAGTTCTTGGACCTATCAAGAAACAAGCACCCTACCTTTCAAACTCTATATCCCAGCAGCCTTCTTCACCAACAATGCATGCCTTTGCGCACTGTATCTTGACAACTTGCTCTCAGAGTCTTGGGTATGGACTTTCGGTTAAGCCCATCGCCCAATCGCCGTCTGCGGCGGCCAACTGTGTGCTCTTTCTTGAGCTGAGCATCAGAGAGTCTTGGGTATGGACTTTCGGTTAAGCCCATCGCCCAATCGGCGTCTGCAGCGGCCAACTGTGTGCTCTTTCTTGAGCTGAGCATCAGAACCGCCCAATCGGCGGCATCTGCGGCCGCCAGCCGTGTGCTCGTTCAAGCTGGCATCTGCTGCGGCCAGCCGTGTGCTCGTTCAAGACCTGAGCAGCAGAAGAAAACCGCTGCTCGACACAATTACGTAACCACCTGTCAAAGCCCTGGTGGTGGTCTTCATGCCACACACTTCTTCCGCAGGACGATGTGTACGATGCTATGTTGATGTCGAGTCTACCATTCACGCAGCATGCCGAACCGCTTCACCATCTCATAGCGTGCCAATCGTCCCACAGCCTCAAAACTCAAAGATATAGAACTGCTCTAGAAAAACTGTGTCAACTTGTTTGACAAATTTTGTTAATCTATGCACCCACAAACCCTCAACAGAAAGAGAGAAATAAAGAAACAAGATGAAAACAAAGGATATGCGAACAAAACCATTCAGTCATAGAAATAGATCCTGCGAAGAAAAAAAACAGAGATTGAAGAACACAGCTTAAAAAGCAAAGACCACAGGAGAGATCCTTGGACAGAAAAAAAACTGCTTTTTCGATAGACTGTGGCGATGAGACGGCATGTTCAAATGAACAGTCTGTCCAAGCCTCTTTTTCGAGTCCCGGATTGCTGCTGCACACCCCAAAAAAAGAACGAGTCAGCAAGGGACTGAGGGCACTATTTTTTTTTTTTTTTGGCTGGCGCCACCATCCATTTTTGCCTGGTAGGACAAGCCACCACTCACTGTCAACGCAGCAGGCAGGCAGGCCACTGCCTCTGATGGTGTAAGCACCGTAAGGCAATCACAACCGAAGAGAGCAAAAAGGAAGGTAGGGACGTTCACCCCCGCCGTTCCCGGTCTTGCTTCCTGCCTAGCTCCTCCACTGCCTCGACATGTTGCACCCAATCCACAACACTCTTGAAGGCCTGGACGAGGACAAGTCTCCATACTCGAGAATCCTCGATCGGCGATTGGCGATTGCCCCTCCCAGCTCTCCTTTCCTGCACTTAGTACCTGGCAGGCTAAGAGCATGCTACCCATATCCGGTACTCGAGAGTCTAGCTTGACAGCGTAAACAGTTCATGCAATCAATTGATTAATCGACCGATCGATTAATCGGTCGACCGATTGATTGATTGGTCAATCGCCTCAATCAATTGTGATTCAACTTAATATAAACTCAAGCGCACAATCTTCCAGTCTCCTCTATCCCGTCCCTGTTCTCCGGGCTGTCCACGACTCCTGCTCTTCCTTCTCGATACCATCTCCTGTTCCAGCCCCTCCGCTCCCCTTTCTTTAACCGATCTCCCCCTCGTCTTTCTCATGTTTTACTTCATGGGTTACCCGCAACACCACAAAAGTGTACCACCGGGGAAGGTGTGGGAGAGGGAATGGTACAGCCCAGCATTTTTAAATAGAACACAGTGTGTAATACTGTGTATGGAATAATGTCATGTGTTGTCATAAATTCATAATATACCGTATACATCATAATCTGTGAAGAAATTTTGTCCGGACACAAATGTGCTCACACCATAATCTCCAGTATGATCTAACCAAACATGAAAGGACTGTCTCCTTCCACTACCCCAGCTCTTTCTCCTCCCCCCCGTCCTCTTCCTTTTGAGAGTCCACCTCTCCCCGTTCTTCCTCCTCCTCCGCTTCCTCCCACACTTCCTCCTCCTCTGTTGCTAACACCTTGTTTGCGTAAGGACGAGCTTAGCCAACCTGAAGAGTCTCTCCTTCCCTGCTCTTCCCCCCCCCCCCCCCCCCCCCCTCCTCCTCTTCTTCTTTGAGAGTCATCTCTCCGCCTTCTTCCTCTTCCTTCACTTCCTCCAGCACTTCCTCCTCCTCCTCCTCCTCCTCTGTTGCTAGCACCTTGTTTGTGCAAGGATGAGCTTAGCATACCTGAAGTCTCTGTCCGAATCAGATGATGATTTTCCTGCAAAGTGCTTCTACCCCATATTCATCACGGAACCAGCTCCACGTATTTCTCCACACTCCCACCCTTGCGGTCCGCCCCCCCGGACGCAGCTCCACCATCAGATGCAGATGATTTGATGGACGTTGTTCCCGCAGTGTCATTTTCTCCAGCTTGCTGAGATGATGTCTTCTTTGTCAGAATCCTTGAAAAACCGTACCCGAGACACGTGCCTTTTGCCTCTGCCACCTGCAGATCAGAACGTCAGAACCGAACTTTTATTTTGAATTTTGAAAGCAACTGTTGTCATTTCCTTCACCACTTTCTCCTCTTGTAACTGAACAAGCAGCTGCCTTCGAATTCCCATGCGAAAACGGAAAACACATTTAAAACAGTGAAAACAACCAGAGAACAGCCATTCGACTTGCGGGCTTGAATCCGTACCGCCGACTTTTTTGGACATATATTGCTAAGGGCGGCTCTCCCTTAACGAATTCAGCAGTCATGTCATGGAGCATGATGCTGTTGTCCCACAGATCCCAGTGGTCAGATGCATGTGCAATGGCCATCTAATGGCCAGGTCCGCGTACGATGCAGGCCGAGAGTGTGGGAAACCACTCGCCTGCCTGAGCATAGCGTAGCTCAAGTTGGCGGTCCCTCGTTGCTACTTGTAGGACTGCAATAGTAGAGCATCCTTCCCTGGTATAATAGCCATCCTCTGCCTGTAGGCAGGGAAGATCAGCATGAAACTACAGGGCAATCACAAGAAAGTCTGGCGCTGTATAAATTGGACGGTGCAGAATGTGTAGACAGACATCAGCTGCAGCCAGACCACAGAGATTGACGGGGATCTCAGGCTGAAGTGTCGGATGCTGGCCAACAATTTGCGGATCACCCAGATGGTCTTGCAAACCCAAACTGTCCTGGGGTGTTTGCTGGTCAGTCATTTGCAGATCACGCATGTGGTGTACACCTTGTGAGGCAATTCACGGTCCGGCCTAATGATGTTGGTCAGCCATTTGCACATCACCCATCAATCCGCCTTGTGGGGCGGTTCGCAATTGGGCCAAATCATGTTCTAATCCGGGACATTTGGGGCAGATTTCTGAGGGGGGACTGCCCCTTAAATTGGGAGCAGACTCCGGATGGGGACAGAATCCTGCTTTCTTCAAGTGACTTGTGAATAATACCCAATGCGGTATGGCACAAAACGCAGTGTCGTGGCTGTCCGCATGAAGTCGGACTGTCTGAAGGGGGCATAAGAGCAGATATCGTCATTTGGAACACACACGAACACCAACAACCTGTGGAGCAGGGACAGAGAGAATCGGGCCAGACAAAGAAACAGGCTGCTGATCCCCCGACGAGTGACAAGGGATCAGCAGCCTGTTTCTAGTGCACTCTGTCAACAACACACAATAAGAGATGAGTCCGTTCACAAAGTGATAACGGGGGTGGAACAATGGGAACAATGGGAACAATGGGAAGAGGAGAGTCCGTTCACAAGCGAGATTGTGGAGGAGAAGGGGGTGGCGAGGAGGAATGCAGCTGTCTGCGACCAAGCACAGAAATAGATGAGAGGAGAGCACAGAAAGAGATGAGAGGGGGTTGGGTAGGAGTTTGAGCTAAGGGATGTGAAGGTCAGAGAGACTGTGAATTGTCTGCACTAGAACTGCGGCAGAGTAATCTGTAGAAGCAAAAACTACAGTAGCGGGAACTGCAGGACAGGAAACTGGAGCATATGAAACTGCAGCAGCAGCAGGGGAGCAAGCAGGGGAGCAAGCAGGGGAGCAAGCAGGGGAACGGCTTGCTGCAGCGGCGTGTAGTGAAGATCACACTGACGAGGCAATAAGTGAAAGCACACTGCTGAGCGGCTTGAAGTGAAAGTCGATGAGGCAATAAGTGAAAGCACACTGCTGAGCGGCTTGAAGTGAAAGTCGATGAGGCAATAACTGAAAGCACACTGCTGAGCGGCTTGTAGATCACACTGACGAATGTCATCAACAAAACACGTTTCATCCCGATATAGCATCTGATAATCTCTGATTTGAAATTTCTGGGCCAGCATTAGTTCCCCATTGGAATACCGACAATCTGTTTCGAAGTGTCCTCCCATTGGAATATACCTACAATCCGTTTCCAAGTGTGCCCTGTGCAGTGTACACATAAACTTGAAATGAGTATTTTTGTGCAACAAAAGGAAGATGTTCGAGAATCTGAGAAATAGCAACGTTTTTCGGGCCTGAATCAGCTGCTGTCCATTGGCCACAACTAGGTCCACAAATTGCCATGTCCGATGCATTGCCGCGTGAACGCTCGATTGCGCGCTCGCGTGAACGCGGAACGGCATAAGCATGGGCTTCACGAACAGCTTTCTGCCACATCATTGCGAAAGCGGTCATGAGGAAGGTTGCCCATCCCGGTCATATCAACAGTGTGAGGAGAGAGGACACTAAGCGAGGGAGGATGAATTGTTTTTTTAGGTCAAGCGCGACATTCATCTGCGCTTCGAACAGTACAGCACTGTCGAACACCAACCTGCTGATAGAGCTCAGTGTCTTAATTCGCAAGGAGTGACCACTGACCTCGACAGCAAGAGCCCGCGGAGAACACAAACAGCAGCAGACTCTTGTCATCAGTGCCTGAAGGTTTGGTGCCCCCCAGTGTCGGCGGAAAAAAAACACAGGCTTGGCAAAAAAAATAGGTTTGGGCCCTTTGGGGGGATAGGCTTATATCAAAATAGGTTCGGGGATAGATATTGGTGGTTTAAGTGTGTTGACTCTGTTTTTTTTTTTGTTTTTTTTTTTTTGGAAAAGAAAGATCGAAAAGCAGTTCATCGAGAGCAAGGCAGTGTCGACAGCAGCAGTTATACCGTACCTCAGTGAGCTCTGCTAAATGGCTGGCTCTGAATTCATCGATGGACGATGCTATCTCTGTGGCTGGCAGTTTCATCTGTAATAAATAAAGAAAAGATGCGACATTGCACAAAACAGTGAAAACACAGAGTTATACTATGCTTGACGTTTTTTGTTTTTTCGGTTTGTCTTTAACCAGGTCAGACTCCGATCTCTTTGTGGGGAGCAGCACGTGCTGGGAACCGGGCCCAGTGTCCCATACCATATCCATACAGTACCGGGCTTTGGCTAATGCAGAAAACACACAGATCAAGGTGAGAACAATGACCATTTGTCCTAGGGTGTATCGACCTCTTCAGCCCCAATAGGCGACCAATTATTGCATTTGTCCCAAGCCTAGCTACATCCCATACCATTGAGCATTTCCACCAGCGAAACGGCCTGTGTGGGGGCGAAGGGGTCACACTTGTGACTCATTACAGAACAACGTGAAAATCCAACTCACATTACCATCATCGAACCTCTGGAGGCTGCATAAAGAAAACAACCTCCTCTGCTAGATCAATGCAATGCATTATTGGTCCTCTGGTCCACACCATGTCAATGCTATGCCAATCCCTTCCTGGTTGCTGTTCCAATCCCTTCCTGGTTGCTGTTCCAATTCCCTCCAATTCCACAATGCTATGGGCTTCCCCACCGATGAATACACACACGCAGACGCATACAGTAAAGGAGCAGAGGGGGGGGGGGGGGGGGGGGGGGGGGGGGGGGGGGGGGGGGGGGGGGGGGGGGGGAGAGAAGGGAAAAGGGGAAGAGGAGGGGAGGAGGGGAGGGAAAAAGAGGATGTAGGTAAGTGAGTACATGTATACGGAGCGTTATATTGTCTCACATTATCCCAAACAATCTACTCGAAAATCAGCACAAGTACATTGATGTCATCATAGAGACACTGTCCCAAAGGTGGGATGCTCTCCCACTGATACACTGATATCGACCTTTACAAATATTTCCATTGCCCGAGTTCGGAGCTGAGCAGCACAAGTTCAATCCGTTGATCGCCACCACAATTTTATGGGATAAGGTAAGACGAGTGGCAAATGCAGACACGTGGCTAACACTTAAACAGGGCGTGTTATTTTCGGCAAATTTTGCACGGCAAATGCACACACGTGGCTAGCACTTTCATATTGCCCTGAAAGTTTTGCTTTTTTCCTTGGGATTTTTTTGGTCTGATATCAGTGATATGTATGTGCTTTAGGGTACATCTTGTATTCAGTTTTGTGAACTTCTGTCATATTAGGGTGATGCCTACCGGTAGTGGCCGACCTAACGAGTTTCTCTGACGTTCTAGAGACTCTGAAGAATTGAGCTTTTGTGGCTGTTTTTGTGCGAGTTACTGAAATACCACATAAACAAATGGTGTCTGTTCTCAGTGCAAAACATATCCAACAGTGCCGAAAGATAAGGCACAATCATCATCCAGTATAGCATTACACTACGACTTTGCCTAAGACATTTACGGCATTAGGCATCACAGAAACGACACAAATGATTATTCACCAAAAACGGCCAAACATGCATAGTGCCACAAAATGGGCACAATTATCATCATCATCATCATCATCATCATCATCATCATCATCATCATCATCATCCCCCTCCTCCTCCTCATCATCATCATCATTGCCCTCACATTTGCCACGCTGCAACGATTGCAATGTCAACTGCGTGGAAAGAGAGTAACAAATGCAGTGTGTGCTGGCTGCAAGGAGAAGAGCATTAAACCAACATATGGTGCTTGATTTTCAAACAATAGTTGAATTACGGTTCTGATTCTTTTTCTAATGATGCATATGAATTGGCAAGGATCGATTCACTCTAATGATGCTGAACATTGAGCGTCGACTGGAGAAGGCCATCACTTTCTGCCCAGCTGCCAGGGTTACATACCTGCCGACCGCCGACCGTTTTGCATCCGACCAGTAGGGCCGACCGGTCGGCGGTCTGCCGACCAGTCAGAAAACAGCCACTTCACTGATTCTTTTTCAAATCTGAGTGGGGGGCTGTACTGCGCTTGCTGAGTACAGCCCAAACCCGCTGAAAAACTTTCAGGGATGGAGGAGGGCGTAGGGGAGGTACAAGGGGTTTGGGAGGGAAGTATAGGGGGGTTATAGGGGGTATAGGGGGTATAG